CATTAAACATGATCTTTGTTTTGTCCATGTTCATCTTAAGACCTATCCGTTGGGAAACACTATTGAGGTCATTGAGCATAGTGCTTAGGTCCTCCAGCGATTCTGCCATAAGAACTATATCGTCGGCAAATCGAAGGTGAGTGATGTACTCGCCATTGATGTTGATACCGTATCCTTTCCAGTCCAGAAGCTTGAAAACATCTTCCAATGCAGCGGTAAAGAGTTTCGGGGATATGACGTCACCCTGTCTTACACCTCTCTGCAATTGGATAGGTTTCATACTCTGGTTCTGTACTCGGATAGCCATCGTAGCCCTACTGTACAAGCACTTCAACACTTCGATATACCGACAGTCAACTTGGCATCGCTGAAGGGACTGCAGCACCGCCCAAATTTCGACGGAATCAAAGGCTTTCTCATAGTCCACATACGCCAGACATAGTGGCAAATTGTACTCCTCGGACTTCTGCACAATTTGCCGAAGGGTATGTATGTAGTCTATGGTGCTAAAGCCTTTTCGGAAACCGGCTTGTTCGGGAGGCTGGAAGTCGTCAAGTCTGCGCGCGAGACGATTCGTAATGACTCTCGAAAACAGCACGTAGACGCGGCTCAGAAGGGAAATCGGTCTGTAGTTCTTCAAGAGAGCGTTGTCGCCTTTCTTGAAGAACAAGACCACCGCACTTCTGCTCCACGCCTCCGGTGTAATGCCACCATGGAGGACGGAATTAAAGAGCTTCTGAAGGACTTCAAGTACCGGTCTTCCACCCGCTTTCAGAAGCTCCGCTGTAATTCCATCCTCGCCTGGGGCCTTGCCGCTTTTAAGGTGCTGGAGAGCCATTCTAATCTCGCTCAGACTGACGTCCGGGATATCATCGGAATAATGTCGGATAAGACTCGCTCTTGGATCGTTACTCACACTTGCGTGCGGCTCCAACGATGACGTGTACAGCTGCCCATAGAACCTCTCAATCTCACTCAAAATCTCAGGTGCCCCGGAAACGATGCTGCCACATTCTGTCTTCAGCTTTGACAGTTGGCGCTTTCTGGCAGACAGATCTCTGGCAAAGACTTTGGAGCCTCGGTTCCGCTCGATCGCTTCTTCAATACGAGCTGTATTGAATTTGCGTAAGTCCCGCCGCATGCATTTGGAGATCTGTCTGTTCAGTTGCCTGTATGCTGTTAAATCTGTTGAAGAATGTAGCTTCATCTCCCGTCTAACAGCCATGAGATTAAGAGTGTGATCGGAGAGTTTTTGTGTTCTTCTGCGGCGGGTCTTGCAGAACTTAGCTCCGACCGCATGGACAGTTTCCACGAGCTTGTCATTCAAATCGTCCACTTCATTGCAGTCTTCTAGGCACTGAAAACGGTTTTGTAACTCGAGCTGAAAGGTTTCGGGACTTTGGAAAAGAGCACGAGGGGGACGGAGCGTTGACTTCATTAGACGAGACCTCTCCAACTTAACGTTTAGGTTCAGTGTGCCTCTAACCATTCGGTGATCGCTGCCGGTTTTCACCCTCGCGATCACTGAGACATCACTGAACAGTTGTCGTCTGGTCGTCATAATGAAGTCAATCTCATTTTTTGTCGAACCGTCGGGGCTCGACCAGGTCCACTTCCTGTGGGGCCGCTTCTGGAAGAAAGAGTTCATCATAAAGAGTCCCTCTTTCTCCATGAAGTCGGCCAGCTGCTGGCCCCTTGGGTTCCGTTGCCCTATTCCAAATTTCCCTACTTTCAGCTCACCGTTCTCTCTTGTGCCTAGTTTTGCATTGAAGTCTCCCATTAACACCGTATATTGGGTTTTGGAGGAATGCATGGCTCTAGAGATATCCTCATACATTTCCTCCACCTCCTGATCGGGGTGTGCCGAGGTTGGTGCGTAAACCTGTATGACCTTCAGCGAATACCGTTTGGTGATTCTGAGTATAAGGTACGCAACCCTCGTCGACACACTCTCAATCTTGAGGACCTAGCCATGAGGGTTTCTAATCCAGATATATTTCGAGATATGCTACGAATATTTTGGTTCAAAATTTTTAGGTAATGATTGGGGCTATTTATGAGGGAGCGGCAGTCATCTATATCAATTTTAGCAAATTCTGATACGGAAAAGGAATCAATATTTCTTTGTAAATCTATTATTTGATTCGCCGCGAATATTTATATATTATACTGTGCGTCATCGTCAGATAATAAGTTAAGCACATAGACATCCTATAAATGTTGTATGTGCTCAAGTTATTATAAACAGTATGAGTAATTAAGATCTTGTTTAAGTAAGATATTATGCAATTTAATATTTTGTATTCATTCAACTCAAGCCAAGAAACAGGCAGTATGCATAGCAGAAAATCACTTGTATGATTATTAATGTTAGTGCGTAAAGGTTTGTGTGTAAATAGTGTTATTGTAAAATTTTGTTCATAATATATCTTAAGTAAAGTAATTAACAAACTAAATAAGTTTAATAGTTTAAGTAGGTTAATTAAAAGTAATAGGTAACAAAAGTAAAATATTGTATACTTATAGTAACTAATGTATGTTAGTCATTTTTCTTTTTCCAGCTTAATAAAATCAATCTCCGAATTAATTCTAGTGCGTAGGTCGCCGTCATTTTTCCGTAGGTATACTTGGCCATAGGAGATCCAGCAATATTTAAATTTGTTTTTCGTAGCAAATTCTTTAGCCGAAACAAATAGTTTTCTAGTTCTACTGGTAAGATTTTCAGATATATATACAGGTGTTTTTACTCCATGAATACCCAAGTGCGTAGTATTGAGTTTGTTATCATTGCTTTGTCTCCTATTAAATAAAATGACCGACTTTAACAATGTATCCTTGAGTATTGTAGAGTTTAATATATATATAATTTTATTTTAAATGACGCTTCATTTTAATAGACGAATAATAATAAATACTACGAAAGGAACTTCGTTGCAACCGAGTTTTTTACGACACTCACGCATGTTTTGAATATCGTTCTAAATTTCTTTAGTAGTTTATGAAGTTTTACTTCAAAAATTAAGTAAAGTACGCAATCAAGGATTTTGACAACCCTGACACATATTTTCAAGTTTGTATGAAAAATTGAATAATAGGTGGGCAACTTGGCTACTAGCGTAAACTTTGTTACTTGCAACACAATTAGAGGAGCAAATCTGAGGATTGTGTGATAAACTTACCTTTACCCTTGAATTTATTCATAATCATATTCATTTAAATCACATTATTAAGTGGCGAAGCTTGCGAAGTCACTTATTGATTTCACGATGTCTGTCCCTCTGTCCGTCTGTCCGTCTGTCCCACGATTATCTCGAGAACGGTTTTGAATTTTCAAATTCTGTTTTCAGAAATCGATTACTGATCACCCAGGCATCTGAACCTCCTATTTTGAAACTGATTGCTCAACGGCAACCGTTAGAAACCGCTACAAAGCTGATTGCTTCGCCACTTTGCTATGCTGTTAGCTTGCTAGGTTCATTTTCATTAAAAACCCTGATGGCAAAGTTGCCACAAGGTAAGGTGAACTTTGCCATTTTCTATTTTTGAGTATTTTGTCTATTTAACATTATTATTTTTTAAATCATTAATAAATATTAAATCTATGAACAATATATTGCTACATTTAACATTGAGGCCCAGTCTGAGAGTACCTTTTATGTTGAAAAATTGATCCTAAACTTTTAAGTCCTTTCAAAAATGACAATGTTGCCAGTATTTACTATAGCGTATATGCTTTTACAACAATTTCAGGAAAAAAAAACTTGTAATAAAAAGTAAAAGCAGACTTCAAAGACCTAAAAAGAATAGAATAACTTCACATACTGAAGTCGAACTAAGGCATAATGTATAGAAGAATTAAAGGTCTGACTCTTAGGAATGAATTTTTTCTCCAACACAATACACCGTTTGAAATACATAAGCTTAAAGCAAAACAAAAATTTCGTCTAGTTACATTAAAAACCCTTTTCTCTTCCAAATGAGGGACTACATTATAGTATTTTTTTTTAATAAAAAAAGGATCATCAACATCAGTTCACAGTTGATGAAAATTTCGCTTAACATTCTAAAAAACACAGTCAAATTGAGAACCTGCACTTTTTTTTAAAGTCGCTAAAAATATGAGTGTCGATGGATGCAGAATGATAGAGCAATAGAGATAGATGTATCCAGTTAATACTAATACAAAAGTAACGGTTGTAGGTGACTTTAAGAATATTAGAAGGAATTAAAAAGCGATTCAAAATAATAGAGGTGAGGATTTTGGCGCGAAGTCCGCGACGTACATGGATTGATCTACAAACGAAGCTTTAATGAGGGCTAATAATTTTCTACTCACCAGATGTCGCTAGTTGACACTGAGGTAAACATTTTTGTTATACAATGAAATTTAATTGAGAAGTATAACAAAACCAAACACAAACACAAAACAACGCCTCGGTGGTTTGCTCTTTAATTTTTTTCACATTTTTAACTTTTTTTAAATTATTTTACTTTATGAATATCTGTGGTTTGGTTTATTTATTTTATATTTTATTAATATAAAATATAGCTAATAGTTCAGAAAGAAACAATAACCTTTACATTTTCCGAACAAATTAACTTCGCCCCTATGAAATCTGTCAAATATTATACCTCACTTTCTAGTGGCGCCGCCCTGGTGACAGATAAAGTCGAAGAAGAGAAGAAGTCATTACACTATGGAAGTATTTTTTTGACTATTATAAGCCATTGCTTGATTACAAAACCCCATTTGGTGGTAAGTGGTGATAAATCCGAAAGAGCCCTAGGTAATAAATCACACTGTCTTAACGCGAGAAAAGCCAATCATTCACTTGGATTCCAGCGGTGGACACTTCTTTGCTTAAGGCAAGGAAGACTTTCATTTCCAGTACTAGGTCTAAATAGTCTGTAACTTTAATTGTATTAGTAGTATGAATATGTTATTTATCAATAACATCGTTTTGTATGTTAACACATTAGACTATTATTTAGAGACTTACCGGTATCAACAGCTGCCTGATTCGTCAACTGAACATATCTCATGAAACTGTTCTTCAACTTCGGCCCCGTTTGATCCCTGAAGCTCTTCCACACGTACAACAACTCGCTCTCTATCCTCGAATGCGCCAATATCCTCGTTATTTCCGGATCCAGCTGCATGTCGCAATAATTAGGGTACTCTGCATTATCTTGGTAAGGTTGGTAATGTTGATAGGGCTGATTGGTTAGTTTATACTGCTGATGTCCTGGATAATTCCGATCATCTTCCTGTTTTTCAGCCCCAAGATAACCCACTTTTGGTACATGCGGATCGTACGGCTTCTGGCCAAATGGACAAATTTTTGCAGAGTTGTAGATCTCTTTCATCTCTGATATTAACTGTTGCAGCTGTGAAAAAATATCAATCAAAGTTATGAGAGTACAGATTACTACAAATTCAGTCACAATGATTAAAAAAGCGAACAGAAACAGAAACTTTTTTATACAATATACATTATAAATAATACTTATCGAAAGTCACTCTTTTGTTTAATTGGGTTCGGAAAAAAACCTCTGTCCTGGGAAGAACCAGCAAAAAACTTTTTTTGAAAGTAGGCTCTCCCAGTAAATGCTAATAAAACTAAAATTATTGATTTATTTGCATTTACGTTTTCTTTGTGGTAGAGCCATGGTGAAGCTATCTTAATTTTATAGCTGTAGCATGAATGGGTCAGCTCGACCGGGGAAGGACCACGCTATCACAGAATACCAGCGTAAAATAGCAGCTCAATGCTACTGTGTTTCGTATGGTGAGTGTAGAGAACCGGAGAACCTTTTTACTGGAAAAGATGCATTCCATCTTAGTCCTCACGGCTGACAGATCTGCATTTTGATTCGTAATCGAAGATTGATGTAGATATAGGCCTATAGTTCACAGCAACCACTTACCATCAGGTGGACTGTGTGCTCATTTGTCACCCTTATCCTATAAAAAAAAAATATTTGCGCTGGCCGTATATGGCGGTAAGGATACACACTTCCACATATCATCCCTTGAGTGTTAAAAGGTGGTAGAGGTAAATAGAAATAGGTGTTGGGCAGCAGCATCTTCGTGATAACAACTCTTTAATAATAAAAAAATACTGTGATTGCCAACCAGCCTGCCAAGCGCGCCAACTATGGAAAATATCCCACCTATGAGACGATCTACGGTGAGAATTATGTTCAGCCATAAAGTTTTGGTGGGTTGTAATGAATTAATGAGTTTCGTTCACTTTGCTCTCGTTAAGCTTTTGTTAAAAAACTACAGAATTAACTTCAATGAACTCTTTAATAACATATGTATTCACTACGCAATTAAGCGTCGAATGATATTAGTTTAAACGTGAAATAACGATATCGTCATTACTTAACCAAATATGCGAAACAAAAGTATTGAAAAAGGGAGTTCTGAAAATTGGATCCAATGCAACAATTTCCAATGGGAAAATACTCATAATATATTTATATTTATTTTTACTTAATGAGCCAAGTGTGAAAAAGCAATGCTCAGTGAACGACATCAATATGAAATTTAGAAATTAGTGTTAAAGAACGACACTTCAAACTTATATTCCCCGAAGGAAATTAATAACGGTTTTTAGGGTTCCGTACCTCAAAAGGAAAAAACGGAACCCTTATAGGATCACTTTGTTGTCCGTCTGTCTGTCTGTCAAGACCCTTATTCTCAGAAACGCGTGGAGGTATCAAATACTCAAGTCTACTGTTCCCTGGAGCTGTGAAAAAATTAAGCTTCTAAGCCAACGCAATCAAAAGATACAGCCGTTTATGCTGCAAATTTTCGACATTCGCAAGGGAATCAAAACCTACAGGGTACTTTCCGTGAACTCAGAATATTCAAATTTGCTACGAAGCAACGTATTATAGCACAGATAAAGGAAAAATTGCGAAAAGCATAAATTTTTAGTTACATCATGTAATAAAAATATTTTTAATAACTTTAAACTTATATATCTACGGATTTGTTCGGAACCCTCGTTGCGCGAGTCCGACTCGCACTTGGCCGGTTTTTGTCCACTATATTGCCCAAATATTGAGTTTTTAAAATAGTTGCATCAGTAGTTTTCAACCATCGATTTTATTTTATTTCTTTGCTTATTTATGGTTCTTAGCCGTGCACGTGTGTATGTCATGCCGAATACAAGTTACTGTTTTTTTTTTAAATAATGCAATTACGAATGTCCAGAGATAGTTCGAAAAGAAATTCATCGCGACACCTACTAGATAGGGCAGAACAAAGTCTGCCGGGCTAGCTAGTCATAGATTATTATATTAAAAACGCGTAATCAGTTAGATAATATACAGTACACTACATCACGGAGAGACCACCGATTTATCAGTGAAAGAGTGACAGAGAGACTTTACTCTACGTTTTATAGCATGTACCGGTAATCAAACAGATTAATAGTCTATCGCTATGAATTAGGAAAATATATTTTTGGGAATATACAAGATTATTTTGCAATAACCGGTTCAGAATAAGTAATATAGGCAAATCGTGAAGAAAATTAATAAAAAAAAATCTCAATAATTCTGTCCTTTTTATCTTTTAAATTTAAAATGGGTGGTAATGCATTATTGGACGGATTTTACTGCACACGCACACATTTGTAAGGGTCGATCGGTAGGCAAAAACGTTGTTGCCCATAAATCGCATTAAATTTTGGATCATTTCAAATAAAACTAGAAGCCTTATTTACTCGTATTTTTTAAAAATACAATAACGGTTGGCTACTCTTTGAAAATAACCCAAAAAAATTATTATAAGTACTTAAGTGAGTAAGTTTGAGTTAAGACACTTTTTTCTTTTTAATATTTCAACAAACCTCAGTAAATTTGTCCTCTGGTAGGGCTGCGCGACTGGACTGCACAATTTTCATCAGCTGTCTCCTGGCTTGAGGGTCTGGAACCCGGGAGACGTCGAACGCAGCCGCCTTACGCCATGAGAGCCTCTCAAACTTCGAGCTGAGCGCCAACTCCTCTGCCATTCGCCGTCGGTTATGCTCGGTTATGTTGGTCACAAACTTCCATTGGGACAGTGTGACCCTGCATTCAAATGTTATTAAGTATATAACTTTGTTTTTATGATATTTTAAGCCAGCGCTTAGCTACAAACCCAGTTGATGGTAAGTGGTGATGTAGCCTAAGATAGTGCAGCGCACTGACTTAACAAAAGCCTATTCACTCTTTCCTTGAAAACACCTTCACTGTAATCGGATGAAAACACAGGTGATGGCAACTTATTCCACTCCTTTGCTGTATGCATGATGAACGACGCAGCAAACCGTTGGGTTGGAATGCGTGGTAAATCAACGACGAAAGGGTGGAGACTGGCGGAACAGTATTATTTTAACAAATATCACTTGACGATTGAATATGCATAAAACGATAGATGATTTGTTCAGATAGATAGTGTTATGTTGTTTACGCAAGACGTAAAATACTATGTTTAACGAAGAGCGTCAAAGGTGCGGGACGTCTCTAATCTACAATCGCCATTAAGGTAAATCTTCCTTACAACAAAAGAGTTCCAGGTCCAGCAGTTGACTTAAGCGGGCTAGTAAATAAGAAAAGTAGATGGTGGTGTAACAATGTTGTTCTTGCCAGGCATAAAATACCCAAACCGGCCGGGACCACCACTAATGGTGCTCAAGACTGGTACCAATCCCAGGTGGATTAAAATGGGGATATCGGTGAAGGGCCCAGTTTCAACTGTGGACTTTTATGAGCTGATGAAGAATAAGAAGAAAATTGTAAGGTGTAACCTGTAGCACATTCCAGACGCCTCTCTGTCATATTCTCGCAGAAACTGCATCGCTTCCGCCGCGTTTGTGTTAACGCCCTGTTAACAAAAGTAAAGTATTTTTTTAGGCTTTTATTACTAATATGAGGAAAAAGAGCCGTGGTTGCTTAGCGGATGGGTGGCTTACCTTAAAATTATTTTTTTGTGAGTGATGCGAGTCCGATCTACTCTGCATCAAAGAAGATTTAAAATAACAACCTTATACGTCCTCTTACTTAGCTAGGCACATGACTTCTCCTTCGAGAGGTTTTTAGGGCAACGAAATTTTCGCCAAAATCTTTTACTTATTATTTATTATTAGTGTCATCCATAGAAATATTAAATAGAGTGGTGTCATTCATTTCTGAGCTGTATTTTAAGTTTCAAATCTCTAGCTCATCGGGAAGTTAGTTTAAAATTAAACGCAACATTTTTACCGAACTGACAAACATAGCATAAAGCAAGTTAATAAAAATGTGATAGTAAAAGGTCTTCCGTTCTTTACAGAAACCATACCAAACGTATCAGAACTATAGTCCTTCCTCGCTCGAGCTGATCCATTCAAGTTGCATCCATTAATAGCATGGCTCTGTCACGTATATAAGCTGTTACTGCACTGTACTTGAAATTGTGATAGAAACATACTTTTATAGAATTTTGTTCAAATAATTTTCGTTCTGAAATATCCGCTAGACATTGCTTTATTCTTAACAAAGAAGTGTCAGAAAAATTAATAGAAAGTAAAGAGAATAATAGAAGTCCTAATGGTGGGTCCGAAAGCCGAAATCATTTGACCAGTATAAAGATCGAAGAAGAAAAGAAGATAAAGAATCCGTTATCTTCTTTATCTTGATTCCATTCTTGTGTAACATCGTGATATAATACACATGATGCGTGATGTAGTACACTGTTCCTATTATTTGCATACTTAATCTATTTTGGCGTTATTATGTAATGACGTCCACCATGTTAGGTACACTATATGTGTCATAGTGACCGACATATATTACGGTGTGTTCGTTTTGTTATTGCGCGACGTTGAATATGTAGTAACTTACATTGTTTCATTGTAGTTTTATTGTAATTAAGGATAAATTGCGTAAGAAAAAAAGCAAACTGAACATCTGCTCAAACACTGTACATATTGTTTTAAAAATTATCTCTTGACATATTTCTAACAGAATATTTTTAGTTATCGCTACCAGTGTAAGGGAAAATTTGTTTTTTTATTTAACAATTTTAAGAGAACATTTGCTACTAAAAATTAAATATTTAAATACAGAAAAGGCAACTAGGAGCTAATATCAGTTCCCATATAATAGTAACATAAACCAGCTGAATGAGACTTTTACTTTTTTGAAGTTAAATCATTATTCCAATAAATTAATAATAAATTGTATATCCTATAATATCGATCTAATAAAGATCTGACAAACGACCGACGGTAAAACCAAAAAACGCTGAAATCAAATTTCATACGCTGGTGATAGAGATGGGGCAATGTTTTGTAATGTTGATAGTCTGTGAAATATAGTGCAGGATATAGTACGGCACCCTGCGGTACATCAACACAAATAGTATATAAGTACTAGATGTTAAGACTCTTTGTCTACCTAGGTATCCGTCTGGCCAGTCAACACACTCTTAGTAGTGCTTGCACTGCTGTGGTTTGGTATGAAATGTATAGAGAGAGGCTAGAACCCAGAGCCGTAAAGCCAGTTAAAAAAAAAGGTATAGTGAGACAGTATTATTAAGCCTAGCTTGCTACATATATATTTATCTATGATTAAGCCTGGCGTCGACTACAGCAGAAATGCGTCGAATCGAAGCGAGTCGCATTTATTCCTAGTGCGTCCATCTCTGACGAATCGAAGCGAATTGTTCATTCATCGCAAATTCTTCATCAAAATAGGTCGTTTTTGCATCGTGGACAGCTCTGTTGAAGAGGTGTTTTTATTTCATCGTGATAATGTGGATCTTCATGATTAAAATTCTGGATATTGTTGAACCAGTGATATCAATAGTTCTTCATTCATTTTTATTTAAACAAAATGATTTTTACAAATACGAAATATAAATTAATTAAAATACGCTGGCGCGCATCCACTTCTCCGCGTCGATTAAGGCGCGCCGAGTTGAATTGAATCGCATCAGCGAAGAAATTCGCCTGTCAAGCAATTCGCACGGTCGATTCAATCGGCGATGATTCGGCGCGGCGCGGCTCGTCGCTAATGGACGCAGTTTCATAGTAAATATATAGGAGGCGACTTTCTGCGATTCGATTCGACTCGGCTCGGCGAGCCTAGTGGACGCTAGCCTTACAGGCTGTAAGGAATTCCATTTTAGTCCTCGTAGCTGACATCATCTGTAATTTTCTTTGATTAAAGTTTAACTGCAGGTGTCCATGGGCTGCAGCCATTCAGTGGTGCTCTGTGAATTCGTTTGTCAGTTCAACTTTTAAAAAAATATTCTTACGACATATATACATATAGACAGTAATTCGATGCGGCGCCCTTTCCAATCTGCTTTTCTCCTGATATCTTAAAGAAATCATTTAAAAACGTTTTTAAACATTATGTTGGATATACGCCGTGAAATCTAACCTAAATATTAAGTACCAAAGCGACGTGGCGACGTTGCTATAACACAATAGTCACAAAAAGCCAAGCAAGCGTGTCGAACGCGGCGGCTTACCTATTACCTTACAGTGGACAATTATATTCAACGGAACTTGTTAATTATATGCTTGAATTTGATACTGACGACCTAAATCCAAATATCAAAATCAAAAGTAATATTACACGACCTTGATGTAAAAATTGAAAATCGTAAAAAAGTTTCGTAGAAAAATAAAATGGTGCTTTAAAAAAGCTTGAAGTGACAAGCGAACTTGCATTCTTTGTGATGGTAAGTGGTTATTGCAGTCCATGGACACCTGCACATAACTTCACACAGAAAAAGCTTCAGATGATCACATGGATTGTTTCACAGCTTGTAATATTACTGGGACTCTATATCCTACAGAACAGGACACAGCACTGCAGGCGCTGCTCATTAACAGCATAAATAGGAACGAGGGTAGTATCTACCCAGACGTACCTACTCCTAAGCAGAAAGGAGTCTTAACACCTAGTACTTCTGTACTCTGCACGCCTTTAAAACCAGATTCTCCACGTGATAGAGTCATACTGCAGCTATATTAGTAGTATAGTTGTAGCACGAATGGGTCAGCTCGACCGGAGCAGGACCACGCTCTCACAGAATACCAGCGTAAAATAGCAGCTTAACACGGCTGTGTTTCGTATGGTGAGTGCAGAGAACCGGAGACTCTTTTTACTGGAAAAGAGGCATTTCATCTTAGTCCTCACCGTGACAACGCATTTGCATTTTAACAAACGAGGATATATGTAGATGTCTATGGGCCACAGCAACCACTTACCATCAGGTGGACTGTGTGCTCGTTTGTCACCCTATTACATAAAAAAAGCTAATTTATTTTCACATCTTTTATCAATATAACTTCTGATTTCATTAATTATATTAATATGAAAAATAAGTATCCCAATTTTTAATTTCAAGTATGATAAAGTGTGTCTGGCCTGCAACGGAAAGTCAGGAATTTGCATTTGGAAAAAGCCAAAATTAGGGGCTTTTAGGTGCTAATTAGGTGTCAAGTTTAAAAATTAGGTGATCTAAAACTTTCACCGCAACGACCTGATTTTTCCAAATGCAAATTCCTGACTTTGCGTTGCTGGCGAGACACAACTGGGTGCGAAACGCCTTTTATTTTATTTCTATTGTATATGGATGATGAACGCCCACAACATGTAAATTTAGTGAGTTGCTGCCGCCCTGAGCCTCCAGTCACCGGAGCTAAAAATACTGGCCCTTCCCCCCTCATTTTCACACGTATTTCAAATTGAATTAAACACTGGTTCGGAAACCGGATGTGATGAATGGATGGTGGATCCGAACTGGTACCCCCGTGACCATGAATGCTGCAAAGCACCCGAAACGTCGGGTATTTAAAATTAATAAAATTAAAGAAGATACTCGTAAAATCCGTAAAAATTGTTTTATACAAAGTGCAGTGTTAGCGTAGATATAAGAAGTAATTAAGTATTTCAAAGTTATAGAATTTGTAAAAGGCCTCTATCATCACAATCATCATTATAGCCTTTTACAAGTCCACTGCTGCACTTAGGACGGAACGCCACAAAACACGGATCTGAACCAACTGCTTCCATCGATTGCCTGCACGTCTTAACACCTTACCAGATTGTCACTCCATCTGGTAGGGAGACAAGACAACACAAGCATCAGACAAATACAAAGGCAACATCTGTTTTTTCACCCTGAAGACAAAGATCGAAATACTTCGCAGTCTGAGTCAGTCAGTCTAAGAATTATATCGGCTTTTTAAATGAGTATCTTATACCTAATAAATCATTATGTATTGAGTACGATTTCAATTGAAACTATCTTAAGAATTTATGGTACACAGAACTCACACTTGAACGTCTTTCAGTCAAGTAGCCACGATTTAAATTGTTATATAGTTATTATATACTGTCACGAAGTTTTTTTTTACTAAAATGAAGGTTATAGCACAATACCATCATTATACAAAATTGTTCATAATGCATTTAATTTAAGGAAATCCTGCGACTTGATTCATGGTGTCGGTAATCTTGAAATATGAATTACTTTTTGTCTTTGTTTTAGGTTTCCTTTATATAGTTATGTAAACAAAAGAAACATTTTAGAGGCTATTTCTAAATCGTACAAAAACGGTCATAGCTAGACATGAGAAGGAGCTACGGACATCCTCTGGTTTGGTACCAATCGTACAAACGATTTGAGCATTTATTTCCGTATGCTTCGCGTACGGCGACATTTCGTTAGAAATAGCCCATCTTCAAAGCACACAGTTTAGGAGTTTAGGAATCATAGTTGTACCATGTTTCATAGCCAGTCAATATTTTCTTTTCATTGAATACGGGTGACAAACGAGCTTTCAATTCATCTGATGGTAGGTGGATACTGTTGCTCATAGACAT